CTCCTTCTCCTTCTCCTTCTCCTTCTCCTTCTCCTTCTCCTTCTCCTTCTCCTCCTTCTTCTTCTTCTTCTTCTTTGATGCCATGACACCCTTTGGTGTCGTCGGCGCACAAGGACATAGATAAGCAAAATATCACACAACAAATGCACCCAATGATTGAGGACTCTCCGACAGTCATCGCAGGCTCTACCCAACTTATAACGAAGTAGAAGCGAGAGGTGCAAAAATACCTTGAAACAAGATAATAGCTCGGCGCGAACACCCTGACTCTATTGGTGGCTTGGTCGCATAGGTATTGGACCGAGCAAGTGAAAGCAGGATTGAGGGGGTGGAAGTATACCCAGGCATCTTTCGTCTCAAACATCCAATGCTTTCTAGGGCGACCAGGTCTCACAACTGCGGGGGTGCATGTTATTTCGGCAAGAGAGCACTATTCCGCGCATGGGATCTCGGTTGGGAGCCCGAAAGAGATGGCCCAAAAGTACCAAAAGTCTGAGTCGTCTCTTTTGAATGTGTCACTGATCGTTTGTATAGGTTTGTGTCCAACCCTGTAACGGTTAGCTTTGTTGAGAACGGCAGCCTTTGACCAGGACCTATTGATGAAGCTACAAGTAGAAGGGAGATTCAAGAGTCTTCGGAAGACTCCGTTGTTGAAATGCATTCAGGCGTGTGAGGTGAGGGAGATTCAAGGTTAAAGCTCAGAACTTAGATTGAAAATCAAGCCGCTGAGAAAAATAAAAATAAGTCACCTCCACGCACCATCTGCGGAGCAAGCTTCAGTTGGGCGCAGTGTGGGCTCCACAAACCACCTTGGATGGGACTCAGCTTCACTCACAGGGAACATAAGCATTTTTGCTCGGAAATTTGCGGGTAGGTCGCACAGAGAGAGAGAGAGAGAGAAAGAGAGAGAGAGAGAGAAAGAGAGAGAGGGAGAGTGAGCGAGCGAGTGAGCGAGCGAGGGAGGGAGTGCATGAGTGAGTGCGTGGGTGGGTGAGTTGAAGCGGCACTTGAATCTCTAACGTGGACACCTGCGTGTCACTGGGTGGCGGAGACCGATTTCAGAGCTCGGACGCCCAGCTATCGTACATCTTCGTAATATCCTTTGGACGCGCATACGTTCATTCAAAGGAGCGCCAGGGTCCTGCACCCCGTTTGTGTGGAGCTCAAACTCGGGCGCTCCATCGGCACGTTGGCCCATGACAAACCTCAGCCAAGTCAACAGGTGCTCAGAGTGATGTTGTTCGTGTCGCAAAAGCTTTCAAACTCCCGGCTCGTGGGATGAATATGATTCACATGGAATCCTACGAGCCACTTGATATCTAGTGCGGCACCAATGCGTGAAAGCGTGCGTGCATCCTATTGTGTGCATCTTCAGGGGGTAAAGTTTATGACCTTCACGTACCACATCTGACACGTCATGTTTTCCCGTTTTGCGTCAGGCGTTTCTCCGTCGTCGCGCGCCTGGGATATGGAGGGCAATTGTGGTAGACTACTTCGGCAGGGGTCACCAAGGGGTCCTGGTTGATCTCAATGGCCTCCGCGGCTGGAAGAATCTGGGAGGAACAAATCGGCCGTGCTCAAAGAAAGAAGATGTCCAAAGGCTCTGGACTCTGGACTCGTATTTGTTCCCCCAAAATCGGTCCAGTGCAGAAAATCTTCCCCGCCAAAACCTCTCAACCAGGAAAAAAACGAGAGAGGCACCTCCAGGTTGCTGTATGTGAGGGCATCATAAGGGCTCAGCTCCAGCACATTGGCTCCCAACATCAAGGGCGCAGGCATGAGAGCCCAAAGGGAGAACTGCGCCTCAGAGTTTCGAAACAAGCACTGGCACTTGCTGCAGCTTTGCACCAGTGGATCCAACAGTCTAACACTGAGTGATGCCTTGTGGCAGGACAAAACCAGCCCTGCTCCCAAGCCTTGACGGGAAAAACGCCGTGTAACTCGAACTCCATTTCTTCGACAGGCGAAACTCGCCCAGGCGCACGGGACTGGAGCGGCGTCAACTAGGAGCAAAGTGCATCGCTACTAGTAACAGGTGCCTTACTAGTAGTAACAATGTTTGCTATTTGAAACAAGTGCCTTACTACTAGGAGCAAGAAGCTACTAGGGGCTCCT